TTATACCACCATATTAGATAACTATAAATAACTATAACTAAAGGTAAAATTTGTACTTGATTGGAAGAAAATTGATTTTTTTTTTCATTCAAACAAATAAACGTATATAGATATATAGTGGAATAAAATTAAAAACGGTGAAAATATACAGCCAAGCAAAATGAAAATGCATGAACCATGTTATTATGATCGATAATTTTTTTACTCTTCATTTCTATTATGAACCATTGTTGCGAAAAGATGAAAATGCGATCTTGAACCATGTTATTATAATTTTGTCGATTGAATTTTGATATTTTATTATGTTTTATGATTTACATCGATTCGTTTATTTCTATATGAATAAAGTTTTAGACGGTAAAAGCGTTATATGACGACTACTATAAGTGTAGTAGGTGGATCATCGAAGACGGCAATTTTACAGCCGATGAAGAGCTACCGTTCGATGAGATGAAACCGATGGTTGACGTCGCATATAAATACGTACTAACGATGGATACCATAGAACGGAACATAGGAAGAGGCAGTCTATCGAAATTTGAATGGCAAGTAACTGAAAATAAATGTAACGAAATCAAATTGATTGCAGATAAATATCCGATCATCACGGATCACGTTGAAAATGTTATTAATCAATTCTACGAAAAGAAGATTTCAGCTGCCAATCAAATGAAAACAATAGAAACGATATTATCACGAGATGGCGCCTCGCAAAAAGATCAAGCAGGCAATACGCTCGATAGTACACCATCTGACAAAACGCCAACATTGATACCAAAGCCATCGACATCATCTAACGACAATCAACAACAAACAACGACTATCTGTTATCATCAAAAGCAATCAACATCGACCAGTGAAAGTGATACACAGAAACCATCAACGTCGAGCGACCATCATCAACAACCAACATCGAATAGTGATCATAATCGACAAACGGATTACGGTGATACGAACACGAACGAAGTCCCAGTAAACGGTTACGGTCATCCATACTACGGTCAATACTATTGGTGGGATTACAATCAATATCAGACGAACTGGTCGGGTGGAGCCAAAGTGGCCGCGAAGAAGCTTGAAAAATTCAACGGTGATCCATTAGCATATCATACTTTTCGGAAAACGATTCAACATTACGTCGTCGACAATCCACAAATCAGAGGAAATGCTAATAAAATCATGGAAATCATTGATTTGCTGCCGCACAAAGATCGCTACATCATCGAGTGCTTTAATCCAAATACTTGTACAATGGTTTCAATAATGGCTGAACTCGACGAACATTATGCCAGTCCCAATCGGATAATTCCCGCGCTAGTGGACCGACTTCGGAAGGCGCCGTTTTTATCATTGCGACGACCCATATGTATTTTTAATATTGGTCGATTTGGTGGTATTCAAAACAAGAAAAAGAATTTTGAATTAGAATTTCTTATACTATTCTGGTAGAAAATACACGCAGGTTAGAAATGAATAAAAAAAACCACCAACCAAATTCATCATCATCATCATCATGATATTGATTCTTGTAAGAGGAAAAAAAACACAGATGGTACAATATATAAGGATAATCAAGGATCGATGAATTCAAAAGAAAATGATTAGTTAACAAAATAGTGGAAAGAAAAAAAAAATTCAAATTCAAGTTTGATTGAAATTCAACAATCATGAATTTGAATTTTTTTTCTCTTTCAAGAATTTTTTCTCTTTTTTTTGACAATTGAATTGTATTTTGCATGACAGAATATATCTCTATTTATATTTGATATATCACATAGCAATGGCAAAATAATGATGATAACCATGATCAAAATATTTTTTTGATCTAATACAAATATTTATATCACAATATTATTATGGAATAAATCCAATGGTAAATATTGATTGATAATCATTTTCATAGATGCATAAATACGTATATTGAATATCGTCGTAATTTTTAGAATTATTCAAATTTTTCTCTCTCTCTCTCTCTCATTCATTGTCATTTATCATGTTTTCACGAAAATCTTTTCTTTGATTTTGTTCTTCTTTCAGAAATGATGAGATGATGATGATGATTAATCTCCCCGTTCACAGGAATAATTGAATGAAAATAAGAATAATCATAATTTGAATGTTTGTTTGTTTTTTTTTTTGTTTTGTTCAAAATCTTTCCTGATGATAATAATGATGATTCCGATTGTTTCATTGGAAAAAAATCAACAATTTCAAAATTCAAGAAAATAAATCGAAAGGATGAAACAAAAAAAAATTTTGCCATTATGAACAGGAATAATAATAAGAGGGTACCGTAATTTTTTTTCTTCTTTATCATGAAAGATTTGTTTTGGTTGAATGATATTTTTTTTCTTGAATACATTTTTTTTTTTGGGGTCATTTGGATGAAATGAACGAGAAACGATCGTGAATACGAATGTAAATGGGGTAATGGCATATATGATATTTGAAAAATAAACCCAATGTATTGCTTTTCCCTATCTTTCTTGTTTTTTTTCATACATATTTTCTCTCTATTTGCTTTCATTTTTTTTTAAACTTTCAAATTTTTTCCAAAACATTAACTTTCCAATGTGTGGTGTGTGTGTGTGTGTGTGTGTGTTTGTGTTTGTGTTTTGTATGTGTTTTTTTTACGCTTTCATGAATTTTTTCTTTCTCTTCTTCTGCATCATGGTGTTCAAGGCGTTAATAAACACAAATCTGATCCACACATTCACACATAGTGGATTTTATTACATAATATTTCCAATTATAATTATAATGGTGATAATTATTACACCATATACATGCACATACATCATATAGCTTCAACAATGTTTCAGAATAGAATAAAATGTGCAATAGAAATATGTAATTAATCGGATCAATGAAGCTTTAAAATGATCAATTAATATTAGTTACAAAATGATTTTATGATATGGCGATCGAGTGAAGCAAACAAAAAAAAAAAAAAAATCGAAAAAAAACTTTTTTCATTTTTTTTCGCTTTCGTTGTTGTATAACACAAATACAATTTTTCTATCAAAAAAAAAAGATCAATAGACAGAAAATCAAGATTGATGATACAATACTTTTACTGATATCGATACCTTAATCTAATGTTTTGTCTTTATCAACAACAGGGATTTAATAAATTCTTTTCGAAGAAAAAAGTTTCATCAAAAAAAAAAAAAAAAAGTTAAATTGTAAAAGAAGTATTTCAGCTATTTTTGTTTTCATTTTTTTTTCAAGTCAAGTAAAAAAAGAAAACTTTTGGCTCAAATTATTCGGATGGCCATTATTTTCATTGATTTATTTTTGATTACAGAATTCATTGTGAATGAAATGAAAATTGAACAAAATTACACAATAATAAATAAATATTGGTATCGATTTGTTGTGGCAACTAGATTTTAGATTTTAGATTTTGGTTTTTTTTTTCATTGATGATGGAATCCATAATATCCTTCAAAAATGGTATATAATATGTGTGGCTGATTGCTTTCACTTTTTTTTCATATCCACTTTAAATTTTGGTTTCTTGATTATAGATCATTTTATTTTGTTTAGTTTCATCATGCATATATATGAATTGAGTTTGTAAATGTATGTTTTCATGAATTATTTATCCATTTATCAATTTGTCTTGACTTCATTAAATTGCTTCTGTCAATAAATAGCTTCCGGTTGATTTTAAGCTTTTTTTCATTGTTAACATTTTCAGTTGATTAACTTTACTATGTTTTTTGATTTCTGTTGAATTAAAAACGATCAAAAATATGACCCTTGAATGAGAAACCCTTTACTTTTATGATTTGATCAACGTGAAAAAAAATGTAATCAAAGATATGAAGCAGAGAAGAAATCGATCCATCATCATTGTTATATGTTAGTTATTCTAGTTTATTGAATGAACAGTCAAATGTCAGTAGATATTATAATGTAAAAGTTTTTTTTTTTTTGTTGCATTCACTTGAAAACCGTTATCAAGATTGTTATCAAAATTCTGGAATAACTCAACACATTTAAATTGTTAGAGCCAACAAACCAACAGAAAAAAATAGATTTTGAAAAAGAAAAAGGAAAAAATCCATGGCAGAATGAATCAAGAATCATACATTGACATAGAATGAAACAATTCATCATATATCTATTGCAACAAAATCAACATGTATGAGAAAAATGATTATCATAACAACACGATATTTTTGTTTGTAAAAAAAAATTATTTGTTCATATATTTTGCAAAACAACAACAAAATAACATCCAGATCGAATGATGAATCAACAACAGAATTGTACCACTGTCGACAATGTTTAAAGACAAAAGTTTTTCTTAATTACCACCGTCATGTATATTAGTTTATTTTTCTTCATAGAAATAAATTTTGTTTGTTTCTACAAGTAATTATAATTTAAATTATTAACTCATTAGGTTTAATTTGCTACACAAACACCAGTAATCAGCATAATCATGAACATGGTGGACAAGATTAAAAATTTAACAATTATTCTTTTGCATCTTACGACAATTTTCCATAAGAAAATTTACAAAGAAAGAAAAAAAAACTCAAACTTGAACAAAAACTATAAACAATGAAATACAGCAAACTTTTGTATTATCATCAGGCACACATTATTATTCTTGATCAACAGAGAAAAAAATTTCTTTTGTTTTTGTTAATTTTATTATTTTCTAAAGACAATCGATTTTCATGACAACAACAACAACAAAAAAAATAAAAGACATGTATTGGAATTATGAGGAATTTTTTTTCTGTGCTATATATTCAACATTGAAATAAATATAAATATAAATAAATAATTAATTAATCATGTTCACAATATTTCAACATTGTCAACATTATCATCGTCATTATTATCATTATCATCATCATCATCATCATCATATATCATTATTATTATATTCCTATTCATTCATTCATTCAATAAATTTAATGTTTATGTTTCGCTTTTTATGAATTTTCTATTTTTTTTATTCATTTATAATGTTTCTCTTCATGATGATAACCATATCCATCACCACCATCGCCGCCACCACCTTTTCCATAACCACCATGATGATCATCATATTCACCATGATAGCCATGATGTTCAACATCATAATGTGCATGTGCTGCATGATGTGATTGTAATCCAGGTTCATTTGAATGTATTTTAGCACGAAAACCTTTTTTATCAGCAACATATTCAACGATACGTTTACGGCCATCTTTATCATGTAAGGAATATGTTCCATGCTATGCAATTAAATGATAAATAATCAAGGCAAATGATTAAATATGAAAAAAAAAATTTCAAATAGTAAACATACCACATTGCCATAATCATCACCAGATTCATGGCGTGAATTTTTTCCACCATAACCATCTTCAATTTCATAACCAAATTTATATGGATGAGGCTTTTTTCCGATTAAAAATGGATAAGAAAAAAAGGAAAACAAAATCAAAATATATCAAAATTAATATTGGAAACAAGCAAAACAATTCTGTAAGCAAAATGACAACACACACACACCAAACATGAGCATGACATGTTACATGGATTGTTGAATTCATATCAACAACCCAACAACCGGAACGAATCTTGATTTAGAAAATTTCATATTCTTTTTTCTCTCTCTCTCTCTCTCACAATCACTTTCGTCACTCATTCATTCGCACACACATCAACAAATTTGATCTTTGTTTAGTATTCTTATCATCCTTATTATCATTATCAATTGTCGTTGTCAACATCGTTTTTATTTTGGTCATTGTTGTCAAATTGTTCGGTTGTCGTTTCTCAATTTTTGCTTCTTGTTTTTTTTTCTCATTATTTCTTTATCAATGTCTTGTCGACAACATTCGTTGTCATTCTCATCATCATCATCATCATCATCATCAACATCATGGCCAATAGACATGAAATATATGAAGAAGAAAATTAATTTGCAAAAAAAAAATTATATCATTTCAGAGTGTTTGACAAACACGCACATACAAATTGCCGACATAGAATTTTTGTATTTACAAAATTTTGATTATCAACGGATTCATAATTTTACTTACTTTATGTTTATGATAACCATCATGATGATCACCATGATGACCACCACCATGATAACTACATTTACCAGGTTCAATCATCATAATTAATGATAATAATGCCAATATTGAACCAATAATTGTTAATGATGCAAACTATGAAATGATTATTGTTGAAAAAAATCGGAATTTGAATTAATTTTTAAAATAAAAAAAAACGTGGATGTAAATACCTTTTTCATTGTCGGTTTTTTAAAATAAAAACAAATTGTATCAGGCAAAAAAAGGAAAACAAGAAGCAGATGAAGAAGCAGAAAAAAATTGATCAACCACAAAACAAAAACACAAAACAAAAATCTATCTGTTTTGATCGTTACAAAACGATAAACTTAACTGTTGCTCAATATTAAACGGATGTTTGGTATTTATATGTCTTGGATTTTCATCATCAATACACTTTCTCTATTTGATTTGAAACCAATAAATTTTTTTTTGTTCGCAAACAAGAAAATAAAATCAATCGATCGATGAAAAAAAAAGAGAACCAGAGATGAGAGAGAATGAATTGAATGACAACGACAACAAAACAATACAATCACACACACACACATAGACAAAAAGATTTTGTTCGATATATTTGATTGATTTCCATTTCAAAGTCAATCATTTGCACTTGTATATTATACACATACATACAGGAACAGACAAAATAGAAAAAAAAACCAAGACACATGGTACAATCTGGATTGGCGACCTTTTGACAAGAAACCTTTTTTTTTCTTTTTTGTCATTCGGTCGGATTTTTTTCCCCCACTGATCGACAACAAAGATGGATAACACGGTATATTTCTTTTCCCAATAATCACATAAACAAATGAAATGAAATCTGATATTCGATATAAAAAATTGTTGTTTGGTATGTCGATGTATCAAGTAAATTCTCAAACAAACAAGCAGAAAAAAATCGACACAATTATTAAAATGTTTTCAAATTTTTTTTTGTTGTTTTATTTATTTTTTTTAAATTTTATTCAAATTAAGTTTGTCATATCACGAACATGAACGAAATTATACAATCACATGAGATTTAAATGTGTTACGTGCTATTATTTTTTCTCACTTTTTTTCCATTCCGATTCATGATAGATGAATGTATTTTATGCTTTTCACAAGAAAATAAAAAAAATTCTAAGAATTATCATCCAATTTCATTCCAATCTCATGTGATCAATGTAATCAGTATGACAAATATTTATTTTTTTTTTTTTTTTTGGTCGATTTGTGAATATGTTGATCGAAAAAAATGGATTTATACAAACCCTAAAGAGATGGATAACAAAAAAATGTTGTATTATGCTATATATATACAGAATATATTGTGTACAGAATTTCTTACAAAAACACATAGGAAGAAAAAAAATTTCACTTTATTCTCACAGTTTGATGAATGAATAAAAATCGAATCATTATACATGTGAAGGATTTTTTTTTCTATTCCTAGATCTGAATTATAACAATACCAAACAATTGTGTGTGTGTGTGTGTGTGTGTATGTGTTTTGTTTTCTGTTTTGACATTCCATAGAAGTCAATGATTGGATTTTTGTTTTTATTGTTTTGATTTCATTCATTCATTCATTCGTTTGTTTGTTTGTTTGTTTGTTTTGTTTATATACACTCAATTAGATTCTGATATGATTTTGTTGTTTTGCATCTCGTATTTTTTTTTTTATTTTCATTATCATTTGTTTCACTCGCTATTTCTCTCTCTCTCTCTCTTTCTATTATTCACTTTATCTTCCAGATATACAAACATAGATAGTATCAAATACACGCATACAGGAACCGAAAAAAAGTGAAAAAAAAATTGCATTCCAATTTTAATCAATTTCCGGTGGCGACACAATCGAATATTTTTTTCCTGTTTTTTTTTTTTCTTTCAATAACCACACCATTCAGACAGATAGACATATACACACACACACACACACAAACACAAACAGATGGAATTTAGTTCATACAATATTTGATTCGTTCATTCGATCAAACCAAAATCAATCTAGTAGAGAAAAGAAAGAAAAAAAAAAAATCGAAAGAAAATGAAATCAAATTTTATCTACCACACACACACACACATTAGATAGATATATTGTATTTGGTGGCAATTATTATGATTTGATTCACGAAACAAAAAGTTGTGAACAAAACAAGAAAAACAAAAATAAAAATCCTAAAACAAATGAAGAATGAAACATTTTTTTGCTTTATTGTTGTTGTTTCTTACTTTTGAAACTTTTTGTTGTTGTTGTTGTTGTTGTTTTATTCGTTTTGTGTTAATATCTTTGTGTTGACATTTGGTTATTTTACAGACTAATTGATACCAGTCTTTGTGTTGACTAAGTGATTGCACGTGATTCACAAATTTCAATAATAATCCATTTTAATTGAAAAAATCACGAACAATTTGAATTAATTTTTTTTCTGAATTCTAATTTTTCATCCATATATATGTCCACATTCATTGAACTTTTATACATTATTAATTCACTATAATGTTGGAGGTAAAAGTGAACAAAAATAATCCCAGACAATTTTCTGTTTATTACATTCAATTGTATCTAATATATACTTATTATATATTTGGCTATTTTTCATTTCAGGACTATTTTGCTTTTCATGATGAATGAAAAATGATAAAAATTTTCCATATATAGCAAATTTCTATTGTCCATCTGCTTTTTCATTTATAAATTGAAAAAGAAACAATTGATTCAATAATATAAGAATTTCTATTCTATTGTTTGTCTGCAACGAACAACATGTTCATTTATTATCGACTCTCTAAGGAACTGTTAATTCAATGTTTCAGTTGGTCCAATTGCCAACAAGATCAATCATAGGTATCGAAAGAAAAAAAAAAAAATTATCTAGCCAAAAATTGATGATTCCAACAAGCAAATAAAAAAAAAGGATGTAGAGGTATGAACATTTTCTCTCAATTAAATCCAAATTTTCATCGTATGTTTTTGTCTAGATTTTTTTTCTGTAGAAATAAAGTATCCAAACAATTTCAAATTGGCATTGACCAAACAATGACGGGTCATAGGATAGATAAAAATGGTATGTTATATATAAATTATAATCCATATAACGAAAAAAAAGAACGAAAAAGAAACTCATCGCAAGAAAAAAAACATTTCATATCGGTTTGTTTATTTACATTTTTGTTTTCTTTCAGATCTCATCAATTGAAAGTCTAATCATGTATGATTTTGAATTGTGGAAAAGAGAAATGTTGTTTTTTTTTCTTGGTTGTTAATGTTTACATTCTGGTATATATATATACGTTATATAATAATGATCATTATCACGATCTTTATCGAAATTTTGTTATAAATAATAATAATAATGATGATGATAATTTATTGAGCCAAAGAAAAGTTATCGCATTTTTTTTCACACACACACACACACACACACCAACAGAATTCAGGCAGCAAAATTGTCTCTGTGTGTGTGTGTGTGTGTATATAAGTTCAATCATTTTCAATGTAAATATTCTTGTCACTTTTTTTTCCATTTCAGTTATTAACAATTCTTCATATCGATTCTTGTGTTTATGTGTGTTAATGATGAGAAAATTAAATTATCAATTCTATATGTGTGTGTGTGTGTGTGATCACTGTGATGTGGGTGAACGAGAGAAAAAAATAAATAAATAAATAAATCGAATATGAAAATAAGAAAACGACGAAAAATCAATATCGATATCAGAAATTCTGTGGATGATATTTTTCGTTTGGTTTTCATTTTCATGTCATGTCATTCATCATGAACACAAAACGAAAAAAAAAGAAAGTTAGTATCATTTCTCAATGATGATGATGAAACCATTTATTGTTAACAGCAACAACAACAACAACAACAAAAACAGACAGTAGACATTCAATTTTTTTTCATGGTTCATTGTAAGAAAACTACCATTACCACAATCATTATAATCGGTGGGTTAGAAAAAAAAAATGGTGAAAAATAGTTTTGAATTTCAAATTTTTTAAAAAATTGAAAAAACCAAAACCGAAAACAAACAAAAAAATGAATCATCATTATTCAAAATTCAAATTAAACATACATGAATTGAATCGACAAAAAAAAATTGGATGAATAAAATCCCATTCGATTGAGTAAGAATTTCACAATTCTGTGATTTTCGTTCATTTTTATTTTTCTTAACATATCTTTCTTTCACTTTTCACTTTTTGTATATTCAAATAAACATCTTTTCAAAGCCATTCGTTCATTCATGTTTAATTCAATATTTTTGATATGTAAACAAAATTATCAGACAAAGCAACAGAATAATAGGAATAATGATTGTGAAAAAAAAATACAACTGAAACCGGATCATTTTTTTGAAATTGAAGAAAATATTCATCTATTTGACTTTTGTCCATAAGAAAAGAAAAGTTTCATGTAAATTTCTTTTTCAGAAATTTTATTTTCACAATAAAAACATGAACCTTGAATCATTCGATTATTTTATGGAACAAAATCAAAAAAAAATATTGAATTTCGTCATTTCCAATTGGTTTTATGTTTCCCGAATGATTTTTGTTATTGTTGTCCACTCGATTTCACAATGGAACATTGAAAGATGATGTTGAAAACAAGAAAAGATAGAGAGAGAGAGAGAGAGATAAAAGACAAATTATCTGATAAATTATTTAATGATTACAGTAACAATAATAATAAAACGAATTTGAATTTTGTAATTCCACGAATCAAATTCTTTTTCTTTTTTTTGCTTTGAACCATTTGGTTGTTATGCGTGTGTTTACGGTGGTTCATATTCAAGAATAATGATTACTTTGAAATGAATTTGATAGAATCCATTCATTGAAAATCAAATTTCGAAAATAGGCAAGTGCTGTCATCTTGTCGAATTTTCTAGAAATATTATCATTTATTTTGATTCTGATGCAACAAAATAAGTTGGTTTGCAATACACGCACACAAGTGAACATAACGATTATATATATAGAACGATGTGGTTGGTAAGAATCTATTTGGCAGTGGTAAACATATAGAATTCTTGAACACATAAACATAAAATGATGTATTTGATGAAGCCAGAAAAAGAATGGAAAAATTCTAAAATTTCATGAACAATTGAATTTATTTTTTTTATTGTATTTTTCTTTTTATTTTTTTTGTTTGTTGGTTTGTTATTCAATTGATAATAATGGAATAAAATTCATTAAATTCAATGAATGAATGAATGAACGAGGTAAATATGTTCTCTCATCATCATGGTATCGTTATTTTAACCAACAAATGATAATAAATAACGGCGCCATAATATTTGAATCACGAATATACCAAATAATAATACATTGTTTTTGTACGGCACACATTCCGGTGTCTTGTAAACAAACATACACAAGAAGAGACAAACAAACCAAATATATGCTCTCTGTTTTTATTCGTCTGGTGTGTTTTGTTGTATGTGTAAAAATGCCTTGAATTTCGGTTTTTTTTCACCATTCTTGTTCTTTCATATTTTCTCAAGGTCGTCATTATCATCACATAACCAACCGGAATAAGCATAAGAAGGATAATCCAATAGCATTAAAAATTGAAAAAAAAGCTTATAAGCATTCTATATATTCGAGTGTGTGCTGTTTTTTTTTTTTTTTTGGAGAAATTAATCAACCAAAACTGACTTCACCTGGTAATTATTTGAATGTAGGAATAAGACCACCGAAATCCGCAAGGTAATCTATCTAACTTTATCAATATTTATTTGATTATTAAGCAATTGATTAATCAATATTTTATTCGATTCTATTGAATCTTGTTGTTCGCTGTCACTCAAAATTTTTATATTAATTTTACATTTGCATTTTGTGCAAAACTACAACATGTTGAGAAAGAAACCGACAAAAAAAACCAATTGATAATCATTTTGTTTTGAACATATGATGAGCTGATAAATAAACGAATGAATGAATGATGGCCATATATATATATTTTTTTATCATTATTATACGAGATAAAGACAACAAAAAAAAGATGTACCGAATATGTATTTGTTTTTCATTTCTCTTGATAGGTTTCCCTCTTTATTTTCCAGATAGATAGATAGATATTCTATAAATGAAAAAAATATTTTCATCTTCGTAAAAATTTTTCAGTCAAGCAAGCAAGCAAGCAAAAAAAAATAAGCAGACGACGACGAATTCAATATATTCATTTACGTTGACGACCTTTCTTTGTTCTTGTTGCTTGCTAGCTTGTATATTTGTCATTTGTCATTATTATTAGTTTGTTTATGTGGATGTGTTTGTGTGTTGAAACATCAATTTTTTTTTCTAGTTGACAAAGGTAGTTATTTGACATTTTTTTGTTTTGTTTCCAAATTTATACCGTTACAAATATATATATCATTTGTTTTATTTGTTTGTCCAACCAGAATTTCATTTCGTTTCGTTTCGTTTGGTTTTTTTTTTTTATATCATCACTATTTATCAAAATACATCAAATATTGATTGTTCATCATTTTCATGAAAAAAATAGGTACAAAATTGTGAAAACAACAACAAAATTCAAATACCACATTGAATGTCAATAACAACAACAAAAAAATCCAATTATATTTTTATTGAAAAGAATCTGTGTGTGTGTGTGTGGATGTTTTTGGTTATATTCATATGACCTTAATGATGATAAACAAAAAGGGAAAAACAAAACAAAATATATTCATCAGAAAAATAAATCCCAAAATACCAGAAAACAGCAGCAGCAGCAACAACAACAACAACAAAAAAAATAATTCCTTTCAATTATCCATAACATATGTGAAATTGAATCAAAATTTTGATGTTTGAATCACCAGGGTGCTAGGATCATCATTATTATACTATACTATTGATGTTTAATGATTATGATGATGATACTGAATGAATACGAACAACAACGGACAAAACATACACACAGCTAAATGTGAATCAAATTACTAGAATATTCTCGTTTTTCTGTGTCTGTGTGTATGTATCCATAGGTCATGTTTTTGATTTAATTTGATTTGATTATATCTCATTCCTTCTCCTCTCCTGTTGTTGTTGTCCGAATATTTTTTCCCCTCATTGGAATTCACTTACTGATGTGTGTAGTTTCATTATTTATCACTTTTTTTACATTTTTTTTTCATTATAACAATTTCATTCCACGGATACGAATAAAAACTAAGTGAAATGAAAAGGATATCCATGAATTACATCAATTCATTTGTTTTTTTCTTCCCCTTTTTTCCCCCACACACAACGATTCCATATCAACCGATTCAGAAATGGAAACATTTCATTGTTATCATCATCATCATCAACAGTATCACAATTTCCGTAGTTAAACAAACCAATATTAAATCACCATCATTTGATCTGATGAAGCTAAAATGAAAAATTCTATAGATAAGAGTTAAATGGTGATTTTTCATTCAGTTATTCAATCCATTCATATTGCTGTTTTTTTCCCTTTTCACTCAATTTCAATGTTTCTCTATATAGAATTTTTTTAATTTAATTTTATAGGAATTCTATTATTTTTTTTTATTCATTTTACCAAAACCAAAAACTAAATGATGATGATAATAATAATAGCAAAAAAAAACAAATCATGCACAAGATTATCTTAATATAATGCATCCATGGACAGAAAGATTAACTAACGAATTTTTTTTTCTTTTCCATGTACTGATTGTTCTCTCTCTCTCTCTCTCTCTCTCTCTCTGCCTCTCGTTTATCTAAGTGAATTATTAGCCAATTTATAAACAAGGATTCTAGTCATCATTCCTGATATGTTGGTAATGATGTACATTGTTATAATATGGTCCACTATTTTTATTATTATATATTTAGAACGCAAAACACGATTATACTTATGTTTCATTTGGTGTGTTTGAGTTGTGTGTGTGTGTTGTGTGTATGTGTAAATGTTTATATCATGTTGTTATAAATGATAATCATGATCATAAACTAAACCAAATGGAAAATTTTTTCTTGAATCCCTTGGCAACTTTTTTTGTAATTATAACCAAAAAAAAAAATCCAGAAACAAAATATATTTTTTTTTTTGGGTAAAAATGAATTACGATAAACGCCTATTTAATCTCTCTCCCTCTCTCTCTCTCTCTCTCTTGTTTCTTATGGTTATAATATATACTTTTACTTGTCATGTCGGTAATATCCGTGGAACGGAAATCGGGTTTATTTTCCTAGGTTCTTCTACTGTTGGAATCATGGATAAATTAATGATTCACCGATACCGAGTAACCTCATTCCTCAGAAAAAAACGTTGTCCTTGATTTTCGGTTATATAATGGCAATAATAATAATTTCCTGGCCATGGCCATGGTTAATTATATGAACATTATTGTCTAATCGAATAATGATAATAATCATAATTTTATCATGATTTTTTTTATAAATATTTCGTTCCTCATAAACATTTTATACACGCATAATAATAATACTGATGATGATATTCTTTTATTTTAATAATTATTTATAATAGAATGGAAGTAGAAGATGTGTTACCACCACTTCGGTCGCCCAGTATGCAAGCACCACAATTACAACATCTTTATCGTCTACGTACAATGTCGACGATTGATGAACGAGATTTTCCCATATCAACTGAAGGAAATATTCCAGAATCGGTTCAAAAAGGAAAAATTATTGGTGTATTCACTAGTGGTGGTGATTCACAAGGCATGAATGCTGCTGTTCGTGCTGTTGTTCGTATGGGTCTTTATCTTGGTTGCCGTGTCTATTTTATCAAAGAAGGCTATCAAGGAATGGTCGATGGTGGTGATCATATTATTGAAGCTTCATGGGTATCCGTATCTGGTATTATTCATAAAGGTGGTACGGTTATTGGTAGTGCACGATGTGCAGAATTTCGTGAACGTCAAGGCCGTCTTAAAGCAGCATATAATTTAATTCAATATGAAATAACTAATCTAGTCGTCATTGGTGGTGATGGTAGTCTAACTGGTGCCAATCTATTTCGTCAAGAATGGCAATCTTTAGTAGAGGAATTAGTCAATACAGGTAGGTGAAACATTTTTAAAATTATTTTAATAATAAATTAATTGATTTATTAATCAACAGGTAAAATTACACCTCAAAAGGCTTCAACAGTCGAACATTTGCACATTGTCGGAATGGTCGGATCTATTGATAATGATTTTTGTGGGACTGATATGACCATTGGCACTGATTCAGCATTACATCGTATCATCGAATCAATCGATGCTATAGTAACAACTGCTTCTTCTCATCAGCGTACTTTTATACTCGAAGTCATGGGCCGTCATTGTGGTTATCTAGCCCTAGTCGCTGCTTTAGCAAGTGAAGCCGATTTTGTATTCATACCAGAATGGCCACCTGAAGCTGATTGGAGTCAACGATTATGTCGAAAAATTGAACAAGTATAAGACAAAATTGTTTTTGTTTTATTTGTAATATTTGGAATTTTGTTTGCTAGGAACGACGACTTGGAAAACGATTAAGCATTGTAATCGTTGCTGAAGGTGCCATAGATATGAATGGTAATCCAATTCAAGCTGAAACAGTCAAAGATGTGATCGTTAAGAATACTGGTCAAGATACTCGTATCACTGTACTTGGTCATGTACAGCGTGGTGGTAGTCCTAGTGCATTTGATCGTGTTCTCGGTTCACGAATGGGTGCCGAAGCTGTTTTAGCATTACTAGAAGCGACTCCTGAATCACAAGCTTGTGTCGTTTCATTGGACGGAAATCAAGCTGTTCGCGTACCCTTAATGCAATGTGTTGAACGGGTAAGATTTTAATTTTTTTTTCAATTTTAATTAAAAATCGATATTTATTTATTGATTTTTATTCCAACATTAGACTAAATCTGTTGCCACAGCCATGAAGAATAAACAATGGGAAGAGGCTGTTAAATTACGTGGCATTAGTTTTAAACGAAATTTAGAAACTTATCGAATGTTAACCAAACATGATCCACCCAAAACCATTGATCATAAAGGCTTTCGATTAGCCGTAATGAATTGTGGTGCACCATGTTGTGGAATGAATTCAGCTGTTCGATCATTTGTTCGTAATGTAATTTTCCGTGGTGATACCGTTCTATCCATTCATGATGGTTTCGATGGTCTAATCGATGGCGATATCCGACCGATCACATGGTCAGAGGTTCGTGGCTGGGTCGGACAAGGTGGGGCTAATCTTGGAACTCGGAGAACATTGCCAGATGATCAAAATATTGAAAAAATAATTGCCAATTTACGTCTCTATCGTGTACAAGCATTACTAGTCATTGGTGGTTTTGAAGCTTTTCAATCAGTCTTATATCTTGCCGAACGACGACATCAATATGTCGAACTTCGCATGCCAATGTGTTGTGTCCCTGCCACTATTAGCAATAACGTTCCTGGTACTGATTTTTCATTGGGAGCTGATACTGCCCTTAATGAAATAACGGAAATTTGTGACCGAATACGACAATCAGCTCAAGGTACTAAACGTCGTGTTTTCATTATCGAAACAATGGGCGGCTTTTGTGGATATTTGGCTACGTTGGCCGGTCTTGCAGGAGGAGCCGATGCAGCCTATATATTTGAAGAACCATTCAGCATCAATGATCTGATTGGTGATATTCGATTGATGCATGTCAAAATGGAAGAAGGTGTTACCCGTGGTTTGGTTCTTAGGTTAGTCATTAAATGTCTTTGGTTCTATTACCAATTATAATTATTATTTACCGATAGAAATGAAAAGGCCAATTCAAATTACACAACAGATTTCATGTTCAAGCTTTATAGTGAAGAAGGAAAAGATAATTTTTCCACACGAATGAATATTCTTGGCCATATGCAACAAGGAGCTTCACCATCTCCGTTTGATAGAAATTTTGGTACAAAATTGGCAGCTAAAGCAGCCGAATGGCTTACAAGACAATTAGAACATCATTCAAGGCCACTAACAGAAGATTATAATGAATTGGTATATAATTCAACCTCACCGGATACAGCAGTTTTGTTGGGACTTATTGGTCGACAATATCGCTTTACTCCGGTACAAACATTGAAAACACAGACTGATTTCAAGTATGTAATCATCATTATCATCAATATTAATATTATTATTATTATTATTACCATAAAGACCATTTTTCCAATTACCAATTAACATTGTGATCAAATTAATTATTTTTTCTTCTTTTGTTAAATAATTATCATTATCTATGATGATGGGTTGGCATGTGTTTGAAAGATTTAAGGAATGCACGCAATGCATGCAAGCTTTTCGTTTAGGTTATTCGTTTGATTTGTTTCAAACCAATCTATTTCTTTAGTTAATTTCATTATTTATAATTCATTGATAAAATTTTTTTTTCATCTCTCTCTCTCTATTTTTTCCATTCCTACTCCCTTTTTTACAACAAATTATTTGTCCATATCTTTGTGTTTATAATAACTATCATCATTTTCTTGTTGTAAATGTTTTTCTTTCTTTTGCCAATATTTACCCATCTATGTATCTCTATGTATATAATGTTGTATGTGGTGAGCGTAGAAATCGTCTAGGTAAAGTACAATGGTGGATCCGTCTTCGTCCATTATTACGAGCATTAGCTAGTCCAGAACAATTAGAATTGAAAGATGTTGACGTAACCGTACATCATTTTGTTGAATTATTGGACAAAGAATAATTTGATCGACGATTTGACCATCGAATTCAATCAATGTTTTTTTTTGTTCAATCAAAAAATTGATCGTTACCAAAAAAAAAGATAACAAGTGTATTTGTCCCTTTATTATTATTATTATTTTTTTGTCCTTCGTGTTCTTTTTTTTTTTTATTTGTTTGTTTGTTGTTAGCATTCAGGAATGAGGATATCAATTCTCAATGAACGTTTTTTTTTTTTTTTTTTTGGTTATTAGTCAGAAAATTATTTTTATTTCAATCACTACAGCACAATAAAACAATACATAAAATCAAAATTCAATTGAAACAAAATCACTAACAATAGAATCATATCTCTTGTTCGTCCATTTATAATAAATATATTTTAAAACAATTGTATAGACATCGTATACCATATTCACATTGGTATAAAAAATTACGTCCATTATTACGTATATTGGCACATCATGAAGATATTTATCAACCAGAAGTTATACAGGTACAAGAAATGGATGATATATTCAATGATGATGTTTTCGATGCATAAATATTGGCAAACAACGATGTTCATTCAACATGGCTGAATAATGACGAAATGAAATGCTGATTCCCTTTTTTTTGTGTTGAACATACACTACCCATCCTTTTGTTCCTTTTGCATAATCGACAAATTTTTTTTTTCAAAAATAAAAATAAATCTTGAATTTCAGAATTTGTCTCTTTTCGTCGCCTGTATTATGTATAAATGAAATTTATCATCATATTTGCTGATTATAATTTTTGAATAGATTCAGAAGAAATAGTTACACTGATGATTTTTAAATTTATTTATATTCGATTCGATTTAATTCGTTTCAAACATCAAGTGTGTTACTATTCTTCTGTATCTAGACAAATTCAATTAATGATGAAATGGAACATTTTTTTAGAAAAAAAATTGAGATGATGATAATATGTATGAAATCGGATGTAGAAAGGATTGACAGACTGATGATAATCATCATAAAATAATGTTGTTGTTGTTGTTAAACTAAACATCAGTCATGACTATCCTTTCGTAATCCGACAAACAAGTTGTGTAAATGAAAATTTATTGGAAAAAAACATACATACACACATACATATATCGACTTACGTTTGATTACAAATTTGATTGACATTTCCATCTATATATCGGGATATACAAGTCCAAGAAAAGTTGTTATTGAATGAGGGACAAAAAAATAAGTTTTTTTTGCGATCAAATTAATAAATTATCTCATATCATGTATGATTTTCAGGTTATAAAGCCGAAAATTGTACTTGCCAAATTCAGAAAAATTAAACATGACTGAAAATAATAATATCAATTTTTTTTCGGATAGAGAGCAATCTTTTTTTTTCTCAAGATCTCTATTGATTTGGATGAAAGAAAAAATTTTCAGTGCATGTAATCTTTCTCAATTTAGCTGACAAGTTTCCAAATTTTATTTTCACGTAAATGGATTGATGGTTTGATGTATATGAACGGTTATAGTTGTGTATATATTCTCGGAAAAACAATCAATTCATAGCAATGGAGTAGTTATGAATGATTAAAACCGTATGGATTTTTTTTTTTTTTTTTTGAATGATGTAAGTAGAAAGTAAAGTTTTCATCCATTTCACACCATCAGAATTGTTGTTGTTGATTGATGAAACATTGAAATTGAAATGATCACTATTGAGAATTGTGGTCGAGTTTTTATAATCGAAAAAAATGTCTCTTGTACAAAGTTTCGGTAGCTTTATTGATGATGATCAAAGTCATTATTATATCGAATTTAGTTGATCATCATCATCATCGATGGATTTGGATGACAAAGCCCATAATATCATATATATTGGATCTATTCTCTATTTGTCAATTATGAATAAACATTAAAAAAAACTAAATTGTTTTTGCACATAACGGATTTCATAATATATACACACACACACACACAAACATACTTGAAATGACTGGCTGACACTAGTTGCATACACAATGTTTGTTGATCATAATGATGATCGATATTCATCCAATGGTAAAGAATCTAAATAACAAGCTAATAATTTTCATGTTTGTTTACAAAATGTAGATCATCAATAGATATAGATTCAGATTCAGATTGGCCACTGATCATTCAATTAGATTTGATAGATGAAATAGAATTTTTTTTTGTTTTTTTTTCCAAGAAACATTTTCTGCCACCGCCATAATTATTCAAATGTTGGAAATTTCCAATCGAATATTATTTCAATCAAACATTACACTGTAATGGATTATGATGATCATTAGCATCGAATTTGTATTATGGTGACATTAACTATAGACAGCAAAAAAAACTACGATCGAAATTTTGATCATCATCAGAATGCCATCATCATTTGATATAATTAGTCTAAACATTATGATTCAACAATTCAATGTTTTCATGTTTCACTGTTCTATGTATTATAATATTGGCATCGATAAATCGGGCGATCATCATCATCATCATCCACATCGTTGACATGGTTGATGTTTTTGTTATTTTCAAACATTATTATGAAAAATAATTGCCATGTTTCATCGAAAACAAAATTCAAACGATGAGCATCAAGCAATGAAAATCCATAAAGCAGTTCATCGTATGCCATTAAAAAAAACAAAATTCATGTTTATCCAAAATTTCCATGTTATAACAACAAAATATCGTGAATAATGACTTCTGTATTGTTTACGAATGAAAACCAGCCACTATAGCCAAGAATTGGATCAAATCAATTACAAACGATGAATGTTGACAAACCTTAGATGAAATATATTTCGATATATACTTTGGACATGGAAAACATCCATTTCAAACATACATAATGATTTCCTTGTATATATAACGTTGAAACAAAATGATGATTGCATACAAGGATGATGGATCAAACAAAATCAATAAACACTATTTCTATGGCAATTACCATTTATGGAATTTGTTTTGCCATTCAGTTTTGATAATAAAATGGCAATGTTTATTAAACAATGAATAAATCATTAAATAATGATAGTAGAATTGTTGTGTTTAAATTATTAAAGGAAATGGAATAGAAATGATTTTCCAAAGATTAATTCGATACTATCGATGATTAAATGATGAATCGATGGTATCCACAACAATGTTTGCATTAAAATTGTACACATGTTTAGAATCGATCTGAAACCCAAATTCCAATATGTCTCCACGGATTTTATACAAGATTTCATCAAATGTTCACCATTTTTTACATAATCCACGTATTAGTACATTGTTGAATCAAAATACTATCCGTACTATGGCATTGTTTCCACCAAAAAAGAAAGATGACGAAGAATCACCAGGAATTCGTACGAAAGAATTGGTACGAATTCGAGATTTTTTCAATGAAGAAGGTCTCAAATCAGATTATGATAAAAAACATTTTGTTAACACGATTGAAGATTTCAATAATATCCGTAAAATGAAACGTTTTGGATATACGGAATTTATCGCTGCTTCTTTACCGGCAATGAAAGAATTTGGCGTACATAAAGATATTGATTCATATAAAGCATTGATGCGAGTCTTTCCAAAAGGTGCATTTATTCCATCCAGTAAATTGGCTGCCGGATTCTTCCCTCATTACGTTCAACAACAAACAGCCATCAAAATTCTCATACAAATGGAAGAGAATGGTGTTATGCCTGATAAGGAGCTTGAATCGATCATAATCGACGCCTTTTCTAAATATTCGATAGTTTGGGAACGTTGTGCTCGAATGATTTATTGGATGACAAAGTTTAAGAATGCAAATCCGTTTCCATTTCCCGAAAAAATACCTACTGATCCACTGGAGTTGGCAATTATAGCTCTTCGACGTATGACATTTTATATTGATCCACAAACAGAAATCTATGTTTATCGTGTAAGTAATTCATCATTTTATTTAATTTGCACTGTAATTAAAATTTTTAAAAAATATTACATTTTGTAGACAACTCAAATCGAGGAATCGGACGAAGATACTTGGATATGTTTTGCACAAAGTGATAGTCAATGTAAATTGATTGACGGATTAGATTTGGAAAAATATCGTTTATCTGTTGATGGGCCATTTCAAGTATGGGCTGCAAATAATTCTCTTACATATTTTGTTTTTTATGCTCGAGAAACAAGAGTCAAAGAAAATCGTGACCTGGTCGAAGAATTTCTAAAGGCCGAACAAGAAATTGATGGTCAGTATTATCTAATATAATTCCCAATGGTCAATGATAATGATTCTCTCTATTCTATTTCTAACAGATGTCTCGAATATACCCTTATCTAATTTCGGCCACCTAGATTATGATGAAGGAGCCAATCCAAAATGTAAAGTACATCAACAAGATGATGGAACAATATTGGCCATTGTAGCTACCGGTACATCTAGTCAACAGTCCTTATTACTATGGCTTCGTAAATTCGAACAACATAATCCTCGATTACGTTCCGTACCTATTGTCGTTACGCAGAATAATCCCGACCAAGAACAATCCTCGAATGAAAATGATTTCCAACGAGATTTCGATTATAAATTACAGTGGAAAAAACAACAACAAGCGCAATCATCAGCGTCTGATGATAATAATAAATTTAATGATCAAAAATAATTTCATTTTAATTTGTAAATAAACTTGTTGATCTTTCATCGTGAATTTTAATTTTTTTTCAAATTTTCCTACACACATGATCGATTATTCGATGAAATCGATTGTATCGATACAATCGATTAAAGTTATTACAATTCAAGGGGAAAAAATAGCAATTGTAGTAGCAATAATGCTACGACAATGCTACTACCTTTATAATTTGTAGCTGTTGGATCTAGCTCGAGCACCATCACTGCCAAATCCCGAACGCCGCTTCGAATATGTCCGTTACACATAGTTCTGAACAATTTTGTGTCATCATTATTGCTTTAAATGTTTGTATATGCTTTGAGTTTCATCATCAAAATCTATGTTTTGTTTTTGATAAGTTTTAATTTTTTTTGGTGATTTGTACAAAAAACCAAACATTTAAAATTTAAATGAATATTTCATCAATCTAAATTTGGTTTATTTAAAGGTAAAATACATTTGTTATTTGTTTTGATTATTACAATCACAGTAAACAGCTGATTAGCAGTTATAGTTTGTGTGTAAATATGTTTAGCAACAATCGGTGATGATGTAACTTTAATTTTGATCAATTTTTTTTCCTGTTACTTATCAATTGATAGCATAGTTTATTCAATGAACATAGTTTTCAATTTTTTTTCTGATTTTTTAATTGTAGGATCTCAATATTATTTGTTGCTTTTTGATCTACTCGAATTTCTTTACTTTTTTAGGTAAAAACATAAACAACAAAAATCGAGTAGCCTCATTTTCATCTGTCAATAAAATACTACCTTGAACCAGTATATCATGCATGAATAAATGACGAATAGTAGAGATGGTAGTTTTATCCGGTTTTCTATCTCAATCATTTTCTATTTGGCGCGCAATGTATATGTTGTATTTGTGGCACCTGACACAAATATATCTTTACAATAACCTTTTTTTAATGTACTTTCTTTGGATATATCTGGTCATATGTCGTGTCAAAGTGCATTATACCTTTCTATTTGTAATAATAAAACCTTAATCATCATCATAATAATGAGCCACCCGTTATACATCATTTTTTTTCGTAAAAGAGAGAGAAGAGAGAGAGAAGTCAACATGGCTCAATTTTCATTCTGAAAATAAATGCACCATTGCAAACGCACATAGTAACCAATAAACAGCACTCTTCTTTCAATATAAAAAAAAAATTTGATGTTGGAATATTGTTGGATTGTGTGCGAATGTATATGAGATAGATGTGTGGACGTTTGCTTAGCCGTGTGTGTGTCTGTGTATGTTTGTGTAGCGTATGTAAAAGTATCCAACAACAACAACAAAAACGCGCATTGGCTCAATGTTTTCGTTGGTTTTGCTTGCTGCTTGTATTTTTACTCTCTATCTCTCTCTTTACTCTGCATGCATTTATATTACGTATGTATGTGGTATGTGCATGTTTTTTTGAAACATGCATGCTTTTCCATTAGCTTTCTTCTTCTGTTTCTGTGTTATGATGAGTAGTGCTTATGGTATTATATTGGTCGGCCATTTTTTTGCTATTACGAGCAAAATTATATGAAAAAACTAAAAATATTAATGTTTTTCCGATTATCTGCTTATTATAATTGATGAAAAAATGAACATTTAAAAAATTCTTATTTGAAAAATGAAAATTGACCATATGTTTTTACATGTGAGTGTATGTGATTTTCTATTTGGCGCCATAAGTTTATCCGCATGTCTGTTGTGTAATCTATCAATATATTCATCATCATCAATAATAATAATATATCTTTATTTATTTACTGTTGCTATTGCTATAATAGCTCATAATGATGTAATTATTAAAAAAAAAGTTTAAATATCCTATGGCTTTGTTGTATTACATTCGAAATTTTTATTTTTCAAAAAAAAATAAATTCAAACATGATTATTATTGATATGTTTTTTTTATAATTTTACAGATTCAAATCTGCCGGCATAATGTTATAATTTAATTAGTGATTGCTGTTTTCTTATCACTTTCGTGAACTTGAAATCGATCAATCAACAAAAACAACAAACTTCATTTTTTTATATGTAAAAACAAAAATGCTAATCGACAACGTTGACACCGTTGAATTGAAACGTAAATTAGACCCGGAAATTGTCCATGGAATTTGGTCAGCAATCATTCAACTTTCACTCAAACAACATGATGATGATGGCAGCAATGTTATTGGATTTGATTACGACCAAGTATTTGTTGAACAAAAACTTTTGGTGGAATATATGGTCGAACATTTTTCCCGGCTAGAGAATTCCAAAAATGTTTCATTGTCAATCGAACAAGCCGTTCATGAAGGTTTAATTCGAAAACAAGAGAAAAAAACAGCTGAAGATGGGCAGTTGATGATGAATGGAAATGTAAGTGATAATGATGATCACAATGTCGACAACAAACAGAAAGAGTATTTAATCAGCTTGCCTCATGAAACGATGAAATTTCCATCACACGATTGGTATTGTTTTGAATGTCATCGTATTAATTACAAAAGTAATAAAACCAACAACGATACTGATGATGATAACAGTGATGAAACTTGTTCACCATCTTTGATACTAAAGGAATGTCAACATTGTTGGCGTGTTTATCACCAAAAATGTGTTCAACAGGCAATGGAATTTATTGATCAAATAATTCCCGAAAATGATCGAATAACTTCTAGTAGTTTTTCGAGTGAAACATTTATCTGTCCTATTTGTATGTTAACTAAGAAATATTCATCTTTTTCGGTTGGATCTCGTCTTTTTGATCAAAGTGAATTTAATCAGATATTGAGCTATACATACACGCGATTCAAAGCAAAAGCATCGCATCAAATATCACATTCCTTACTTAATATGAAACAATCATTGTACAATACAACCTCTATGTCATCATTGATATCATCAAAAATAGTATCTTCTTTGTCATCCACTTCTTTATCAGTTCCAACTCATGAAATGAATGGTGAACTATCATCAGAATCGAACAAGTTCAAAAAAGCAATTCTGAATCCAAGAGATTTGTTCAATCAATTGGCAATCAATTATCTTTCATACAAATATATCGAACTTGATGATATGGAAAAATATTTAGAAAATAATCAATATAAAACCATTGCAGAATTTTTCGGTGATTGTCTTACTGTTCGCCATATGTTAGAGGTGGTTGTTTGTTCTCAATCAGAACAATCACCAACCGTACAACGAAGAATAAGCGATGCTTTATCACGTATGATTGAAGCCACCAGATATGAATTGAAAGAAATGATTGGTTGTGTTGATTGTTATCGTAATTCTAATCGACAAAATAATAAGTTATGGTTTTGTTGGCCTTGTGATCCACCACATGTGTTGGTTTTTGCCAAACAGAAAGGCTATCCATTTTGGCCAGCCAAAGTCATCTATCCACGGAACAGTGATGAGATTGATTGTTGTAATCAATTGGATGTTAGATTTTTTGGTTCGAATCATGAACGTTCATTAATTGACAAGTCAAATATCAAAGATATTAATTCATCATTGGCTGAATTGAACATATTGAAACCAATTCAATCGTTGGATAAAGCACTGCAAGAATTACGCACATATAGGGAATTATTGGAATCAAAAGACCCTATATCAACAGATGAATTCAAAAGTTTTAAAAAATGTATGAATAAAGCACCGTCATCGGTTTCGAAATATGATAATAAAGAAGGTGAAATTAATAGCACAACTAATAATTCTAAAAGTGACAAGTGCAATTTTAAAAATGAAGATCAATCGCTTAGACGAACAAAACGGAAATCAAAATCAAAGTTTCGTAGACAAAATGATGATGGTTGTTTTGAAGATCTAATGACTGAAGAAAGCAGCAGTGTGATGGAAGAAGATGATGTTGATGAAGAGGATAAACAGGCTGAAAATGATGATGAACAGGATAATTCTCAATCAAATGATACAAAAATAAAATCAGATGAAGATGATGCTACAGATATTGATACTTATACTGCAAATAGTGAACCTGAAGATTCCACTGGAACTAATGAGAAGAGTAATTCAAAATCTCCACCCAAGGGGAAAGGTCGTGGCAGACCTAGAAAATATCCATCATCATCAAGCTCAGCAACAACTGGAAAAAAGCAACTTAAATCTCCTAAAAATAAATTATCATCACTATTGTCAAAAAATCGAATCCGAAGGAAAAAAATAATATATTCGCCAAACTACAATTTTCGTCCGTCCGACAATAATGACAATGATTGTTTATCCATAAATACTAGTCTTGATACATCATCAAAACGTGGGCGTAAACCTAAACTCTTTCATTCACCTGTTTATCATCAAATTCCGTCTTCCTCAAAATCGGTCAAAACAGTAAAACCATCGCAACGTTTATCAGCTAAAAAATGGATACAAAAATCAGCATCAATAGCCAAACGAAACAAAAATGAACTTCGTTGCCTAACAACTACCTCACCATTGAATAAAAAAGCAAAATTACATTCATCATCACCATCATCGACGTCATCTAAATCTAATTTACATTCACCGAAATATTCAAAAAAACAACGTGAAATTGAACGTGAACGCCAGTTGATCAAAGCACGTAGAAAATTGTTAATGAATGAAATGGAGACGCCCAAGCATATACCACCGGTAGTGGCAACTAAATCAATTCCAACGAATTCGATTTTATCGTCCACAATAGCAAAACCATCATCATCTATCTTAAATAAGGTTTGTCTTTTTTTTTTTTTGTAATGAATTTTCTATCATTCTATTTACTTAGATTCTTAATGCTAACAACTATAAATCAATAAACTTCGATTCTTCCAATTCTCTTTATTCACAAAATGCAATTCATGAACCTATCAACGGTTGTGGTCAATATTACGGTAATAATGATAAACATCATCAGTTACAACATGACTACGTTCTAGTTTCGGATGGTTCTATGATCAAATCAGAAACGACTGATAACAATGATAAAGCTGATTTGATTCGAAAATCCACTGATTACACAACAAGCTTTCAACAGGAACATAAGCCTCCTAGTAGTTTTCTTAAACCTTTGAATAGTGAAGGCGAAACTGATGAAGATCGTGTCACAGATAACGATGTTAGTAATGACCAAAGTAATACCCAAATAGATGAGAAATCAAAGGAACCTAAAAATGAGAATGTACATAATAATGATGACAAAAATGTGAAACAAAATAATTCTGCTGCAATTGATGATGATGATGATGACGATGAAGAACCATATCTATATGATGATGAACAATTAGAAGAGCATATAAACTATTATCTAGCATACGAAAAAGAAAAGGCAAGACAAGATCACCAGCAGCGATTAAATCTTTACCATCAACAACAGCAGCAACAACAACAACAAATTTTGTCTGATCACTATCATCAAGTGAATCATTTTCCACCAAGAATGATAATGCCCAATAATTTGCTGGTCGATCGATCTAAATTTGAAGAAAGTTTCTCGCACAAAACCAATGGATTTGTGAATGAATCACCATTTTCCGAACCATCCAAAAAATATATTGATTACTCACAAGCTCAAATCTATGTACCAACAAAAAAGAATCAAAATCTCGTTAATTCATATCTTTATCATGTAGAAACGAACAATCAAAAAATACCTCATTATCGTGGTGATTATCTTGCACAATACATTCTGCAAAAGGATGAATTTGAACCCGAAGAAATGCAGATTAGCCCACGAAAACGTGGTAGACCATCAAAAAATGTTGAACATTCTTCATTTGAACATTCACAAAAGGCACGTTGTTTACTGGAAAAAAGTTATCTTCAAGATAGTGCTTGTAATCGTGCCTGTTTGACAAATAATGTTAAAGCATTTAAAAAATTCAGAGAATTTCTCGAAACACAAAATAAAAATGAAATTTCAAAGGTTAGTCGTTTTATATTTAAAATCAATTGCAATTACCATTTTCTTTTTCCTTTCGATTTACACAATTTTTAGCTCAAACGAGAACTTGAAGAATCCAAACAACAAGTATATCGTTTAACGAATAAAACGACTGAATTAGAAATGATTGTTAAAAATGAACGTGATCTCAATAAACGATATAATCCAGCTGTCATCAGTCAAATGGAGGAACGATACAAACGTGAAATATCCGAAGTAAAACGAAAACAATGGGTATGTATCTTTATGGCCATATGATGATCCTATTCGAATTGATTTTGTTTTTCTTTTTGTTTAATAAAAAAATAGTGTGCATTGTGTGAAGCTGAAGCAAATTATTTCTGGTATGTTCAATATTCTTGTTTTGATTTTCTAATATCTAATTTTTTGTCTTTATTTTAGTTGTTTCAAAACAGATTATTGTTCTCCAGAATGTCAACTGAAACATTGGAAAGCTGGTCATCAATTTGAATGTACAAGAAATAAGAATAATGGCAAAATGAGCAATGATAAAGCTATCAAAATTGAATAATGGTCATTCATCTTGAAAATTTTTCATGCATATCAATCATTTCAAGCAATCAATTGATACAGCTTAACGATTCATATATTTACGTATATATTTGTATAAATGTAAATAATAGAAAAAAAAATTTATATAACAATATATGATTGCAATTAATTAATAATTACAAAAAAAAAAAAGTTTGCCAATACAAATACAATGACAATAAAATTGAAAAAATTAAACATCTCTGTGTATATAGAGATAGCTATTATGTTTTTTTTTCGATATAACGAATTTTATGCTGAAAATTGTTCTTTTTTTTACATAATATAAAATAGAAGCAAAAAAAATCGCAATTGTTATTTTTAGAATTATTTTTTCAATTATAATTTTGTAATATTATCATCATTCATATAATTCTTTTGTCCAAAAATTGTCTATCATTTGACCAATCATTGTAAACTATCAATCTCTGATTTTCTATATATATAAACAAACATATTCATGGTGGATTCTCATTTTTTTTATAATTTATTTTTCTAATAAAAAAAAATTAACGACGATTCAGATGTCCTGGTTTGAATTTGAATTTTTGAATATTGAATTTTTTGTGTTTTTCAAAATTTAACCACATCAATCCCCAGATGGCAGATAGCGTTCATTTAATCTGAATATATAAATTCAGCCAGGATTATACATCTACATGGAAAAAAATTAAGAATCTAAATGCTTAAAATATTTTCATTCATTCATGTTCTCAACGAATCAACAGATTACACGAAACAAAGTAAAGAATGAGGAAAAGAAGGATGGATGGATGGCAAAAGATTAACAGTAATAATAATAAATAATCGAAAATATGATTGCAAAAACAACAACAACAACAACAACGACAACAACAACAAAATCGATTTATTTCTCTGTGTGAATATTCATTTTCTATATATATATGATTAAATTGTTTTGCAGACAGGTATATCAAACAGAGAAATGATGTTGATAATAATAATGATAATAAATGTCTCTTTTATTGACTTGTTTTTTTCCATCCTTATTATTGCTTGTTATACCTCCTGAATCACAGAAAAACAAAGATGATGACCACGATGATGATGAAAAAGATTGAGGCTTGTTAGATTTTGGATAATAAACTATCTGTATAATGATGATGATGATCTGACTTGCTTGGTATGATAACCTTAAGAATTAATCTTTATAAATATTGTTTTTTTTTCCTCTCAATGATTTTTTGTTCTTTATGATGATGAGGATCATCAGCATAGTTAGGTTCGCCGTTAACAAAATGAGATCTTCTATGTAGTCGAATAATGATGATATCGATGACGATTTTAAAGTTCAACATTTTTCTTCTTTTTAAATCTTCAGAATCTTGTTCATTCTATTCAAAGGTTTTATCATTTGTTTTTTTTTGTTGTTCTTCGAATAACGACTGTCAACATATGATCCACATGAATGATAATAATGGAAAATACCATTTGAAAGGAATTTTTCTATCATTCCATTGATGCTCAAAAGAATTCAAAATTCAAATAAATGTACAAAATGATTGTGAAAAGAAAAAAAAATTTCAATTTAACCTTCACAGCTAAATTAAATGCGAAATGACATTTATTTATTTATTTTTTTTGATTCTATATCTTTTTCTTTATGTATATATATTTTTAATTGGTCACTGATCTTCTTTTGTATGCTTATTTGTCATCCATGATTGAAAGGCTAGTTAGCCTGTGGCTAACTTTTCTTTTTTGCAATATTGCATTTCACAATTTTTTTTGTCGCTGCATCCTTTATGATGATGACAAGAAACGAGCATTAAAAGAATATATATATAGGATAATAATGATAATCGACATCATATTCTTCTTAAGTACATCGTGTATTTTGGTCGATTTTTTTTAAAAAAATCCACTATTCGGATTTTGCACGAAAAGTCATTTTTTTTTGTTAGACAATAATCTTATGTCATTCTCATTTCTCACTATCTCATGAATTTTTTGCTCTCTGTTTTCTTCATTCATCCATGTCCATCAAATATCCATTCATTCATTCATCCACTGACTCACTCACTCACTATCTTTCATTATGGTCATATATATTGATTGGATATATATCAGTATATTCCATTCCCCTTCTTTGTAATCATACTAATACTGTCTTGAAGACGATGACTATCATCTTAATGTGTTCGATTTATCATCATTATAAATCGTATATATATATATTTATAGTTTTATATGAAGCATAACATCATTTTCATTATTGAATGTCTTTTTTCTTTATTTTTTCCAATACCGAAACGAAAAACAAAAATTCTTTTTTCTTAGGCCAATAATCAATGTTGGCAACTGCAACATGGCATTGAACGATATACGACGACAACGAGATATAATAGTTATTATTATTATTATTATTATTTTAACATCCATAATAACAACAAGTCACAATTTTTAAACTTTTTTTTCTTTCAAAAATTTTCTATCTTTTATTGACTTTTTTTTTGAAGACAAACATATATATTGCATTGCATGGTTTAATATTCATCCATACTATAGATTTACTAGACAGACAATATTATTCCAATGAATTTTTTTGTATGTATTAAACACAACTTGGGAAAAAACCATGCTCATCATCATCATCATCAGTAACATCACGCCACAATCCATGATTATGAATACTGCTGCTGCTGCTGCTATATACATAACAAACACTTTAGTTAAAACAAATGAAAGATTTTGTAAAAATGGAATGAATTTTAGTTCATTTGAAATAGATATTAGATGATAACACAGTCAGTGCAGAAAAAAAACAGAACAAATATATTTTTTTCTTCTAACTAATAGTGTCCATTTAACAAGAACAAGAAGAAGCAGCAGCAGCAAAAAAATTGTCCAAAGATTTGAATTATCTTATCCCAGGCGACACATTCATCAATCTTTTCTCTTCATACAATCGACAAAGATTGCGCCAAAATCAAAATTGATAGTCGAAACAGTATCGGATCTATAAATCTTTTTCTTCCAGTATGATGGTATTTTCTCCAAATAAAAAAAATTAAACAATTAATTAAATTTTATTTTATTCTTGAAACTTTGTATCACATTCAAAATATATATAATGCAAATTTGATGATCGAAACTTTAAATTCATTCGATCAATAACTGACCACTAGAGTAGGAAAAAAACCAAAGTAATTTAATCATTTTGAAAAGTAATTTCCTATAGGAAAAAAAACAAAAAGAAAAATTATTAGTGACATCATTGAATCGATCAATAGTTGAATGATCGTTTCAAGTAAAAGCCGATGATGATTACTAGATAATTGGAAAAATACTCTCACACACTAGATAACTGTGAAATTGATATCAATTAAATAGATTAATTCAAATTTCTTATTATTTGTACGAAAAAAAAATTTTTTTTCATCATTTTAATAAATTGTTCAATAAATGGATGATTTTATTTCCTGGGTGACAGTGATATTCAATTTCAATTACAGTAAATTGATTTAATGGAAAAAAAAGTTTTCCATACCTGAAAAAAACAAGGGAGAGAGAGAAAAACACAGTCTAGTAAATAAATTTTTTTTTTTCTTTTGAAAATTTAATATATACAAAATCGAAATGATTAAGACGATGATTAGATATTAATCGAAATAAATGAAAAAAAAATTATCTAACAAGTCGGCTGTAAAGCCTTTTGTAAGATGATGGCCACACCATTAAAAATAAACTACAAATGTCACATCTAGCTTGACCAACCAAGATTGATATCGGATTGAACAAAAAAATTCAAATTCAATTTTAATCAAATTTTACTCTATATCCATATGGAAATGCAGAAACAACAAAATGAAAAAAAATGAATGAAAGAATTGATAAACCGGTAGATATGATGATGATGATGATTATAATGATGGTGACATCAATCAATAGATTGGCGAAATTGATAACATCAACCCATTTATTTGGACAAAAAAAAAACATTTGTGTATCATCATCATTATTTTTCCGACAATCATCAAAGAAAAAAAACAAACACCAAATAGAGCGGAATGAATCAAAGCAAAAAAAAAATTGATAAAAATGATTGTGATTTAAGTTCAATTTTTTTCCACAATTCTATTTTATCTCATTATGATGAAATGGATTTTTAATGAGAAAACATTACGAATAAACTGAATTTTCATTATTTTAATTAAAAAAAAGAGAGATTGCCATTCGATTATCATTAATGTTATCTCATTGGCTAGATAGCCAAATAAAATAAACGAATTCTTAAAAATTGATTTAATTTTCCAAATTCTCAACGTTTTTAATCGATAAAATTCAACTTAATTTTTTTTTAAATTAACACATTGTTCATTCAGAATAAATGGTAATGATGATGATGATGATGATGATGTTACGTATCAATTGTTGATAATTTTGTCACATTCACTAATCGGAACACATGGTCCAAGATCACCTTCAGCCTCACCTTTACCGGTACGTACAAATCCTTTTGGCAATAACATCCGGACTTACAAATCAGAATACAAGGTCTTGTTGAATCTTTATTGAAACAAGTATCTACGCATGGAGAACCACATGTTAGAAATTCTTCATTCGAGCCACAATTCATATTATCTGTGAATATAAAAAACATGAATAATAATTGATTGCAAAAAAATACAAAAACAATACCTTCGTTGTCCGAAGATGTGCCAGTAGTTGCTAATTCTTGGGCCAATAATGGCGTCGCAATTAAAACAATTGTAATGATGATAAGTTTCATTTTATTTTATGAAAATTAAAAATTTGAATATGAAAAAAAAATGTTTGATCAGCAAAACAAAACAGAAAACAAAATGATTTGGATATGAAATGACAAATGTTTAAATACCATTCATTCAAACAGCATTGTAACCAAAACAAAATGAAAGCAATCATTTCTATTGATTGATTGATTGATTAAATCGAATTGATGATTCGATTTGGGAATTTCGATTTTTTTTTGCATATTTTGTTTTTATTGATTATTTGTCATCTGTCATTGAAAAACAAAAAAAAAACAAGTGATGCGTATATCAATATATGTCATGGCTTTGGATTTTGATTGATTGATTCGACATAAAACAGAACACGTATTTCTATCAAATTGTTTTTTATATATCACACTGCCTGTTGTGAGTATTATCCGTGAGGTATGATTGCCATTATCATCATTCGTTAAAATTTTCTCTATGCAACAGCAAATGCATATATGTTATGATGATGATGCTATTAATCAGGAAAAAAAATGTAATGTACAACATACCTACAAGATGTCGCATCGTGATCATCAAATGGAATAAAAAAAAATTTTTAAACAAACAAAATTAGCAAAGTAAACATTTCTTTTCATTTCAAAAAAAAAGAAAAACTAATTTATTCTTCACTGAAATGCAGTTGTATTCAAATTTAGGCAAAGAGAGAGGCAAATTCTTCGATAACCAAATGTTTTTAGTATGACACACACATTTGTTTGTATTACAGTGAATTCATTCGACTGAATCAACTCTTTGATGGGTAGAATAGAATAGAATTGAATCACTTTCATAGCTCATGATGATGGTCATGGCCAATCAATATGGAAAAAAAATATGAAGATCCATCATATTTCACGGTATATTGATCTCTGGTTTTAAATTAGGGAAAAAAAATTCTTTATTACGGACACACATATTGAAAAAAAGTCATCAACAAATAATGAAAAACAGTCGAAACAAATTCAGCTCATGAATAGACAGAGCAAAACAAAACAAAACGAAAATTAAGGTCCCTTGGAAATATAATCCTTGTTGATGATGATTCGGATTCATTGAAACGAGATTGAAAACAAAATCAAAATCAAAACCAAATGATTCATGAATGAACATAATGATTTTCATAGGTGATTTTTCTGTTCTGAAAATATTACACTTTTGAAGATGATGGTGATGATTATTATGATCATTTGAATTTGATCCATTTCGACATTTTTATTCCAATTTCATTTTTCCACTTTTACAGTATATAACCCAACATTAAAGTTGAATAAAATTTTATACAAAAACAAAAATTGAGACAATCAAAAAAAAAAAAAAAAAAAATCCATTGTATTGATTTTGTATATTCATTGTTGACACTAAATATTATCATCGTTTTCCATTTCATTTACTTTGCAAAACTAATCATCATCATCATTGCGTTCATCCTATACTATTATCCATTCGATCGAATCGATTTATGTATTTGATTTCTAAATGAATGAATGAATGAATGAAAAAAATTCCGCTCACATATCAAAACAATCATTGTGTCCGAAGTGTGTTTGTAGCCAATGTAGAAAACAACAACAACGACAACAAAAATGAGAATTGGAGAAAAAAAATGGCGAAAAATTGATTGTGATTCGTTATTTTTTTCTGGTGAATATACATTTGGGATTGTTGTTCTCATTGTTGTTGTTGTTGTTGTTGTCAACGATTTCCATGCAAATAATGATGATAATAGTGATGGATAGAATGAAATATAAAAGAGAAGGAAAATGAAAATTAATGTGTGGCAATAAACATCAAAAGACCTGTCGCAGGAAATGATTGGAAAAAAGATTCATTTTTTTCGGTATTTGATAACAATAACAACAACAACAACAACAAGAAATGATTGTATTCAAGAAATAATAACAACAACAACAAAAAATAATATTATGATATTCTTACGATTGAAAAGTGATAATTTTGTCGTTATCTTTTTTTTACGTTAAGTTTATATAAAGACTATGATATGATCATTGTTATTTTTTGTTGTTGTTGTTGGACATTGAATACAATAAAATTATCCAGTCAGTCATTCAATCAGTAACCACAACAACAACAACAACAACAATAAACAATAACAACAACAACAACAACAAGAATCGATCAACAATGACATAGGTGTCAATAAACATGATATTAACGTTATATGATATGTTGATGGTAGATGATCGAAACAATGACTATAACAAGATATGATGATGATTATAATAATAGTGATGAAAGGTAGGGAGTAACAAAGAAAAGAAAAAATAAAAATAGATTGACTGCTATTGTCACCTATTTTCATATATAATCAAGTTAGCTCGCTTCTCTTTCACACACACACACATATTCACATCAATTGTCAAAGTCGTTGTGTGTGTGTGTGTGTGTGTATATAAGAGAATTTTATGATTCCATTGAGAATAAAACCTATTGTTTTCTTATTGTTATTTTTGATACATTTTTACGCTTGAATACCTGATATTTTTATCGATATTAAACACAAAGAAAGAGACAATTTTCTTCTTTTGTCTTGCTTTTCAATTGCCTATCAATATTAATCAATGGTCTTTATATATGTGATTATCTAATATGATTATAACATAGACAATAGATGATTGTTTTAAATCAAATATATCGACAGGTGTCAAAGTTCATTGTACAATGAATTTGGAATAATAGAAAAAAAATATATATATATTTGATGAATAAAACAATCGTTATCATAATTGTGATAATCAACACACAAATGGTTACCATATTTGGCAATATTCACGTACATGTGGGTGTTCAAATCTTTGTAACACTTTGTGTGTGTGTGTGTGTGTTTCATCATTATTGTGTAAAGAAAGCAAAGAAAAAAACCAAATACAAAAAAACGTCAAAAGCAATCTAATCAGAGGCTAGTTTTAAATAATCTTTCTTGATAAATAAACATTTATATACATACACCCCATAGTTGTTGTAAATAAATAAATGTATAATAATAAAACGACGAAAATCATTCACCTGAACTTGGATTATGTCAAAATAATCCGAAATAGTAACAGACAAAAAAAATTGAGCTAATGATCACAATCACAAGAAAGAATGACATGAGAAAATTGGAAAAAAAGGTAAATGAAAAATTGTGGAAAAGGATGACGAGAGAAACAAAAGGGGCAGAACAAACAAACAAAAAAAAAAAAAAAAAATACAGAACAGATTGAACATATAAATCAAATGATGGTAAGCCAGCCAGCCGGCCGGCCTTAACTACAACAACTAATCTGGATTAATGGAAAAATGTCGTATTATCGTGAAACATTCAAAGATAAACTGATGACCAATGACCACAACACCACCACTACTACTACCATCACCAGAGTTTAAAAAAAACATCATAATACAAATGAGAGAATTTAATTCAAAATAAATCATTTTTAATCAAGCCCATAACAAACAAACAAAAAAAAGAAGAAGAAGAGTGAAAATCAGATACAATTTTTTGATTTGATATTCAATAATAAGTTACAGTTATTCTTATCTGAATCATGAATGATAGTTTATGCAATGCAATATATATTAAAATTTACTATCAACAAAACAACATAAACACAACATAAAACCGCCTACTACTTGTATATATGTTTAAATGAACACTAATATCACACTAACATCATTCATTGAATCTTCCAGATGAAAAAAAAAAATATCATCAAATGTTTGTGTCGGTGGTGCAATGCAATTTGCTATAGTAATAAATTAACGCCACCATTTTGGTCAATATATTCATTTGAATAAAATATCCGTTGATCATAATCATTATCATCATGAGATTGATGAACAAAAAAAAATGGTTGGCGGCTATGTTTTGCAGCTATCAACAACAACAACAACTAACAATAACAAAAATTTTTATCGATTTAACAATGTGGATTTTAAACTTTTTTTAAACTTTTAGAAAAAAAAACATTTTCTAGTCATCATTATCATTATCATTATTATTACACAAGAGAGATTATTGGATCAAGATAGACATCATCAATTTTTTTTATATAATGAAGAAAAATTGACTAAATTTACAGATGATGATGATGATGATGATGATGATGATGATTATGACCGATGATTATCGTATCAACTATTTACCAATTTTAATCGATTAATTATAGAAAGAAGAAAAAAACAAATACCAATTGTGTGTGCAAAGCGTTTCATTCATTTATTCCAATCGATTTGGATGATGATTGCATGAAACAAAAATGTTTCAGACGTGATTTATTCATGTTGATTGTCAATAATAATAAAAAAATCCATTTCTATTGAATATAAAATTTGCCTCAAAGACAAGAATGAATGAATTCACTGAAATGAAATGAAAAAAAAAAAATTTAATACAAATTTCGATAAATTAAAATGATGTTTATTTACCATACAATTACATAAAAATAATAGATGAGTATTGATTACAATTATTATCAAATCGAATTGATTGATTGATATTGACCACAATTTTACCGAATGGAAAAAAAAACATAAATAAATTAGTTCTCGTTCTTGGTCTACCAATCTTAAATGATACGTTGTTTTTTTTCAATTTTATTGTTGCAAATTTAGAATTCACACAGTTTTAAATTAGTGTTATTTATGATAAACTTGTGCTACTATTTCATTTGAAATAGTAATTTTATATATTAGATAAAAACAGATAAATCATTGTAATTACATTATATTTATATATGTATCATCATCATCATCATCATTTGCAATCGACAGAAAAAAAAAAAAATCATTGAATACCAGTAGCAAAGAAAATGAATTTCAAAATCATTGTTGATTGTTTATTGCCAATTTTATGTTGTTGTTGTTGTTGAAATTTGCATAATTATCCTTTTTTTTCATTTTAATGCAAAAAAAATTGGATAACAACAAACGGATAAAACGAATTCAGTGTGTTAAAATAGCCTAAATCATCAGATGTTATATTTGATTATAGCTATTTTTTTTTTAATTTTTTGCAAATCAGATTTGTATGCTCATTCAA